TGGAGAAATAGCAACCTCCTGCAGAGATCCAGAATGAGTCAATCTCCCCCATATTTCAAGATATAGGTGTGGAAAATGTAAGGATTTGATTTGACCTGATCTCTAACTTTAAGGTATTTAAATTTTTAAATGAAAGACTTCTAGTGAAGTAGGAGATTATATTTATGATATTATTGTGCCTCGAGGATGAAACTGCATAAGGGGATCCAGTGCATTAAGCACTGTTGAAGGTTATAATAGGAGACAATCCGTGCCTAAAATGGTTTACAATCTAAATACTTGTCCAGGGTCAACGAGAGTATCTACGACAGAGTACTCAGATCCCTGATTTGTGATCCAGTAGTTTTACCACAATACGGTTTTCTAAGTATAATTCTTTACCTGTTCCTAGAACAGGAGGTAATTCCTTAATAAAACTGTATACCTAGATACAGTAAGAAACTTAAACTGCAAATGTTCAAAGTTCCTCTTTGGACTGAGAATCCCTGATATTTCCAAGATTAATGGCTTCTAATCCATTTTTAAATGTTCCATGTGGATAGTGAAGGCGTAACTATCAAAACACTGTAAAATCATAATGCCTGTGCAGCTATAAATTACTGTTTTTAAAATGAGCTGGAGGTCTCTAACTTATTCCTAAGTGCAAAAACTTAGATAACATAAAACTGCTCAAAGATGACTAGAAATAAGTTTTCTGGCTTTTGCCAAATGTTAGGTAATTGTCAGTCTGCTCACGAACACCATAGCGATGTCCGTGTTCCCAAGCAGAATGTTGGAATAGATCGAAAACATTTCAGCCTGGAGATCAGTTGAAAGATTTGAGGATTTTTGCAAATTTCTCTAACATGAAAAATGTCTTTCTTATTTTTCATTCATCAAATGCTGTTCTATTTTATATGAGAGAGATATTGACTGTGAATTTAACTGATGGTAAAGCGCTGGTTCCATGAAAGACAGAGGTGGAAAAAAGGCCAAAGCAGATATTGCCTTAGAGCTTTTTCTTAAGCCAGACATGTACAAATATGTAAAGAGAGCAGGTAAAAGAGAACTTCAAACTCATTTTCACTTGAGTTGAATATAAGTCAAATGATTGTTTCAAAAGAAGAAAAAAGAAAAAGATGCATGGTTTAAAACATCATTAGGATAGTCTTTTGTGGGGCACAGAAAAAAACCTTTACAGATGTTCTTGGCTCTTTGGAGTTATACTAAAATTAAAATTTGGAGAAGTGCCTCATTTGAATTTATACTCCCTTTGTGATCCATCAGAAAGGATTCATCTCCTATTCAAATGACTAGTCAATATGTTAGTCAGATCAAATAGCACTAATAAGATGCTAAAAATGCTTCTGAGGAACAGGGAGATTTCTTTAACAAGCCATAAAGTGCTTTTTAATCCATTTCTGACTTGTTAAGTTCTTTGTGATTCTCACAACTGTTCCATCGTGATGCAGTTTCAATCCTTTGCACAAAAGGAAAAAAGTTAAGGTGTAAATCAAGGGCAGTGTATAGATATTGTCTTTGCTTTCCGACTGTTCCCAAAGCCACTGTGGTCCTTGCTGTAATTTCCTATCTCATGTCTATTTGAGACACTGGTGCTAGCGGTGTTTTGGCTTGATAAAAGTTTTGTTTTGTTTTGTTTTGTTTTGCTTTTTATGAGCTTGCCAAATCACAGAATGTGAATTCTGATTCGGAATAACATAAAATAATGAAACCTTGCTGTTGCAAGGAAACAGAGGTAAGGCACACTGAAGTTAAGAGGTGCTCCCACCTCTCCCAGTACGCTGAGGCAAGCAAAACCTGGATCCTGAGCTGCACCCTCTCCTCCGCTTCAGGAACATCTGCTGAGCGGTCTGTCTGCCGAAAGCAGCTGCGTGTTGCAGTTCTGCTCCAGACGCAGCTTCGGCTGCATGGAGCATGGGGACGTAGGAGTTCCTGCAGATATAGGTCAAATAGAGGGGAAAAAAGGCTGAGTAGGTAAGGCTATCGGGAACAGGCTAACGAAATGGTGGTTTTTGCATGTTATCGTGCTGACTCGGGGCTAAAACACCGGAACGCAGAAGGAGTTTAAGGAACGATCTTTCACACTTGCCTGAATACGCGGGATATGTTTCTGGTCTTGTGGCTGTCAACAGCCAAATCCATTAGTCCATTTTGTTTCAATTGAAGTCCCGTTCCCCTCACTTCTATTTTCAGTCCGTTTATAAACTAAACATATCTAGGTTTTGGGATCTGAGCTACAGTTGAAATTAAAAGTCTAATTTAAAAAAAGGAAAACTATTTCTGGTTAGGGTTGTTTTCTCGCCTGATTTTGCCCATCTATGGAGAGACCAGAGCAAGTCAAACCTTCCATAATCCACTATCAAGTCTTTTTAAATAGCCCTGAGAATGGCATGCAAAATTCTTCTTACGACTTCATTTAGTTCCTGAAAGCGCAGTGAATCTGACCATCCGTACGGTTTCTGACTGAATTTGTACCTGACATTGTAATGTTTTGTACACAAGGTTTTGATAGCAAGGTTATCTCTAAATTTAGTATTGAATAGGGGGCACCATCCTGTATGGGTAATCATTACGCTTTATTCGATGAAAGTAAATTCGTTCATTCATGAAAATAAGGTTTGCAGGATTAGGCCTGTGAATATCAACCATTTGGGACTGAGAAAATAAATAGTAACATTTAATAAATACACAGTGCACTAAGACTATATTTATTAGTCTTTTGACATTTTTATCTGGCTCCTACAAAGAAGCCTTTGGAGCTGGGACAACAACTGGTGCAGGTAAATTTCCTACGTTGTGAAAGGATCTGGTATTTAGTTTATGGGAAGCAGGCCTGAGCAGATGTGAAAAGTTCAAATAAAGGAAGGCCAGATTAAACGCACTTTTGTGGTTGGAAAATCAAAACAGATGTTATTATTCAACCACAAAAAAATCTATGTGCACTTAAGGAGCATTAGGTGTCTGATCAGTTACATTTTTTTTAGAGAAAATAACAAACTGATTATAAAATTATATAGGCTGATAAAATGTTTTAAAATGTTACTAGTGGACGGAATAGCTTGGTATTCTAGCTAATGGGAAGGGGGAGAACCGAACTAGATCTTACCTGACCTATGGAAATGTGAATCAGCCCAGTTGTTTAGGGGAACTCGAGAAAAGAAGATATAAGCCTTAGAGAAGGAACGAAAGGGAATGGACCCTCCCATCCGAACTCCTGATGCATATCAGGGTAGTGATGATTTAAGATGGATGCGCTTTATAATTGTCCATAAACTTTTCTGGGCACCTGTCCATGCAAAAAGGTTGATCTTGGCAGAGGATGACAAGTGCTGGAGGTGCTCTGGAGCCCTTGACAACAGGCATATGTTTGCAGGGTGTGAACGCTGGCAAACGGTTTTGCAAATTATTTCTAATTAAAAGAAAATGCAATCTAGATGCAGGAATGTGTACGTTAGAGAATACATCTGAAACAAAGGGAGTAGCGCAGGAGCGACTGAAATGGATATCTTTGTAAACGCCAGTTCATTTCGGCAGTGGAAAGAATGCTTTCCTGGAAGAGATGACATGGTTTGTGGGGACGTGTTTGTGAGTCTGGCACGCGGCTGCTGCCGATACGCCCCTGGTAAACTTGCTGCAACTA